TGCAATGGATAACAATTAGAAATCTACGTTATGCAAATGTTTTGGAAGTTTTATTTATCCAATAAGTAATAGCAGAGCATTTATTTGGTTCAATTACATTTTTTCTCTACACACAAGGCCAAATGCACTATCAAGTGCATTAAGTGGCATGAATGTTACTGATATAGAACAGTGTAACAAGAAAAAGTGACAGATCGGATTGATCATTGGGCATTTTAATTGTGAAAGCTTATGTTGATAAATAATAGTCTTCAAGAAGTTGAAGTACTCACGAATGTATCTTAGTTTTTCGGTTCAATAAGTAATTTAACTTATCTCTCCTGGTATTTTTTTCAGGTATTAAAATTATACAACTTTATTCAACTCGTGATCACTATAAGAAAGAAATATGCTTTTAATAGTGTCATTCTAAGTTGGACTGGGCTATCGAAAAGTAGTCCGACTTCGAGACTTTGTATGGTGTCTGTGTTAAGAAGAAAGCAACACTCACACATATACCTGTTCTTGTTCAACGTTATTATTTAAAAATAAATAAAAATATTTCTATTAACTATATTTCCATGTTAGACCTTAATAAGACTAAACCCAAAAAAGCCTAAAATTTTTACTTGTAATTGAATATTTCTTGATTCCTTATTGTCAACAGCAACAAGAATACGTCCATATTGTTCAGATTTAACACGTAACATAATCATTCCATGAACTTCTAAATTTTCTAAGCCACCATCACGACCACAACGTACAGTTAATTTTTCTTCTTGTTTTAAATGAATTCTAAAGAAAAATAAAAAGTTTTTCAAATGAATAAACTTTTTCTTATAATACTTACTCTCCTTTTTCAGTGTCTGGTAAAGATATACTTTGTGTTTTATGTTTAGTAACTGCTCCACCAGCACCTGTTATTACCGGAACAGTATTTGCAACAATTTCACCTTCCGATTTAAGTTGGTCAACAAATGTTTCAACATTTTTTCCTTTTGTACCTAATTTCATTGCTTTTCCTGTTGTACTTGGACGAATAGTCGATCTATTAAAAAAAAACAAAAACAAACAAGTAATTTCATTATTGACTATTTCTCTTATGTTAAATGAAAACAAAAATCAATACATACGTTGTATTATTTGTTGAATAAGTTACTGGTGTTGGCGTTATATCCGGTGTTTTATCCGCTGATGAACTACTATACATATTTGATGATATACCAGTTGAACTTCCATAGGATTTTGATCCACCAGCAGCACGCTGTGCACGTTTTTGTAAATCAAGTTCTTTCGCTCTTTGTTTCATTCGATCTTTTGCTTCACGTTCTTGACACTAAATAAATAAAAAGATCTTTGTTTATTTCATTATAAGAAGAAGAAAAAAAGAAATCAAAACCTGTCTCATAGCATCATGCACACGTTCATCATGTGAATCCATTTCAGTATATGTACGAATTTGTGCTAAATTAACATTTTCTTTATAACCTAATGCAACAATTTCATCAAATGCAGCTAATAATTCAAAAGCATGTTCAAAGACTTCTTTTTCATCGACCGTTTTACAATATTCTGGAATCTGTAAAGAAAAAGGATAAAAATTTAATTTTTTTTTCTTTTTATAATTTAATAAATAGCTACCACTCGAGAAAAAAGTCTTAACGTTTCAAGATCTTCAAGTATATTGCTTGCTTTTGTAGTTAATAAAACCATATAAAGTTTATCAAATGGTTGATAAACATAACGAACAGTATCCGTTTCAACAAATGTATGTTGTTTACCGGCACCAATTAATTTTGGAAATGAAGCAAGTAAACCTTCAATACGTGATCGAGTCATTTCCACAAATTGTCGTGAGACAAGTGCTATTGAAAAATTCAAAAAAAAACAGATTTCATAGAGCAAAAAAAAACAAATTATAGAAAATTTACGTTTGCCTGCTTTAGTACAAATTGATGCAGCGAGTAAGACCATGATGATTGAATAATCTAAAATATGTATATGTATATCACATTAAAAAACAAAAAAAAAGAGTCGCGTTGGCATGTTTATTATTGTTGTTTTTTTTACTTCAATCTATCGGTCGACTTCAGGTATTCGAGAAAGAATAAGCCAATCAGCAACGAGTCAATAGTCAATCCATTCCATCCATCTAACTACAGGATGATAAAAACCATTGGCTACATTTTTTTTCTTTTTCATTTTAACCATGCAAATACAAAAATCTTTTGATCATTTAATAATTGTATTAATAAAGTTCGACAAATAATTTCGAGTATTTTAATATGATATTTCAAACAAAGAATAAAAAACATTTCGAATGATAATAGGAATGCGTTAATTCCTAGAATATGATGTCAAGGATGACATGTTTTCCTTGTTAAGAAGGTAATCCCCTGCTACTTGTTTATATCAGTCATAATCATTTTTTTGCTCTACCTGAAGCAGTACTCGAAATTCATGAAATGCAAAATAAAGGTTTCAGAATTGATTGAAGATTCGCATTTTTTAGTTTTTTTTAAATAGTTTCATGCAATTTTGAGACCTGCGTTTTGCATTTGACAAAACCTAAGAATAGTTTCGGGAAGAGATTTCAAAACTGATCACAATTACCATGAAGAATCAGTAGGAGTCTGATAATGCTCAATGCTGTGCATCGGTTTTTGCAAGCGAGAATAAACTATTTCGTTGAATTTCTAAGCGAAGATTAGAATATTTCTAGTATTGAGAATTACTGGATTTCTAATGATTCTTCATGCCAGTTGTGATCAGTTTTGAAAGCTCTTTCCACATCTATTTTTAGGTTTTGTCTAATGCAAAAATACAGGTCTTAAAATCAATAAAATTATGAAAAGAAACTAAAAAATGCAAATTTTCAATCAATTCTGAAACCTTCGTCTTACATTTCCTGACTTTCAATTATAGCTTCACATAGATCAGAAAAAGAATTAATCATAGTTAATATAAACAATCTACAGGAATTACATTCTTCATAAGGAAAAAACTGTCATCTTTAACATCACATTCTAGGATTTATTGGATCCATAAATAAAAATGATGAAATAAAATTACTAAACAAAAATGATAAAATATAATAAAGAATTTCTCAACGACAATAGAATTTCATTTCAATTAATATGAATCTTTTCTTAACTGACATTATTTTATCCAATGTTAAACTCGTTTTTCAAAAAAAGAGTAGAACAGTAAAAAAATTCCATTCAGAATAAATGCGATGATATGAAGTACGTTGCTTTATTGCTAAAGCTTGTCACATTGTTAGAGTACTTTTCAATAATTCGATAACCCTATTTTTCATTAGATTTTTAACAAAAGCTATCAAAGCCTTTCACACATTAGAAGGTTTCCTCTGAAAATCGGTTTTTTAATATAAATAATGTCTGCAGCTTATTGATTGTTTTAATATTTGTTTGCAATAATATCGAAATGCAGTATGAAGAATACTATTGAAAACATATTATAAAGCCACTCTAGTGCTCTTTTGTAGTATAATCTGAAAAAAATTCTTTAGATTCTCTTAATGAGAAAAACATTCCTATGGTCATAGGATCTAATCGGCGCTGTACACGCTCACACGAGTCATTCATGAAGATATCTTTCTGAAATAGGAACATATTCAGTAAAATCCCGTTGTGTGTTAATTAAAAGGTCTCTTCGCCTTTGCATTCTCTTTCTAGAAATTCAGAAACGTTTTTATCATAAAGCGGTGCATTGATAATTGAAGAAAACATACCTTCAGATGTACAGTTCCAGATTTATTCTATGAAGTGGTCATTCTGAGTCTGCGAACGTATTCATTTTCGTAAAAAGATCTAGAGACATTTTTCGAAACACACACAAAGAAACAAGACACTGAATGTATACTCAGCTGCTGTTTTTTTTAAATTGTTTCTTTGCAGACAACTAATAGTACATTTCACTTTGAACGAATACAATATAAATCATTCAAAGGTTAATATAAACGACTGACTTTGATAAATTTAACAAAAACAAATTAATTTTCTTTTTTTTTCAATTATTTAGCTTTCAAGAAGGTTAAATGTTGCTAACAATAAATCTTATCATTTAGAAAAAATAGTGCTACGTGATCATATGTCAAGATGCTGGGATATGTTGACTGTATTGTTCTGAGAACATTCTTCTTACCAACGATTGTCTCCCATTTTTTTTACAGGATATTATGTGTCTCTTTATCATTCTACGTATGTAGGACAAGTGAAATAAACTCGTTTACTAACGATGTGCAGGGTGAAAATGAGTTGAAATTAAGAATTGTCGGCGAGACTATCAAAAAATATAACTTTCTTGAAGAACTTCATAGAAAACCCTGGGTCTTCTAATGTGTCAAGAGCTTTGGGAAATGCTTCTATAGTTAATGAAAGTGCAACAATTTTCGATGCTAATTCAATATTTATATTTAACATAATTCTAAAGAAGATTAGAATACAATTTTCATAAGAGATATGAATGCAAACCATTATCCAGACAAGCAAGACTTGGTTTAACAAATTCATTTCCTGAGAAGATAATCACTAATGAGAATGCTCCATAGAATGAGTATAGCTTAGATCTCACATTGTTAGTTTTGAGATGGGTGTGGGTGTGCCTGAAGAGAAGATCCGCATACCCACACCGACACTCACACTCATACAAATAACACACCCTCAATGATGTCTTGTTCTAATATATGAACCACTTCTATGTTGCATTTGTGAAGAATTAAATCAAAGGATGGTGAAGAAATGTGTCCTAAAATAGATAGGATAAAGCAATCTTCTTGTGATTAGTAATAACATTTACATTGTGTTTCACATTTTAATCTTCCAGAGATTGTGCTAAAAGCGTGTTTAAACTAATTCTTTTTGTTTAGGTGATAATTTTGTTACAAGAAAAACTACTCGATCGGTTGCTAAAATTTATCTTAATCAACATCAATCACTTGACTTGGTTCATTGAATTCAACACGTGATTGAGAACATCCACGAGATTATATTGCAGCTATGTGGTTAATGTTACAACAAGAGACACTAGAAGAATTTGCTTGCTACAGGTAGAATATTTTATTTTTGTATGAATAAATTGAAGAATAAATTTTATATTGTTAAGATGAAATAAATAGCGTTCAAGAAGCTGTTGAAGCAGAATTTCAGAAAATTGGAAAAGAAATTGTGTAAGTTTATTATTTCTTTTTTGAAATTATTGATTGACTGAAAAAACGAAATTTTAATAGATGGGGGAGGTGCAGGTGTAAAAGAAATTGGCAAAGAAAAAATACTGGTATTGTTCGTGTTACAGTTAATGAAAAACATTTTCGACCAACGGAAGTTGTAAGTTTGACAAAGAAAATTTATTTAGAGTAGAAATTACTTTTTCTTTTTTTCTATTACAAGATCTTTTAATTAATAATCCGAAAAAAGTTGAAGAAAATCTTAAATGGAAACCAAAAATGACTTTTAAAGTATGTCGAAAGAAAGTTTTCAATTAAATTTTCAAATATGCTTTTTTTTAAATAGAAATTAGTTACAGAAATGGTTGCCGCTGATATTGAACTTATGCGAAAAGATCCAACAGCTTAATTCAAATAACATTCCAATTGTGATACTAACTATAATTTGTGTAGCTTTCTTTTCGTGACATTTTTTTCTTAGGCAATATGTGATTTGCGATGGGTTTATAAATGACATTCTTTTATTTATTTCTTTTTCCATGAACTTTTTGTATTCATAATCTCATTTTATTCTTGTTAATTCTTTTAACCACCTTAGTAATCTTATTGTTGATTCAATAAGAAAAAATAATATTTCTTAGATATGTAAACTGTTTTAAAGTTTGTAAAATGATGGAAAAATTCTTTAACACATTTATACACAATAAGCTTGAATTAATAATGTTTAATCTATTTAGTTTATGAAAAAGAAAAAAAAAAACAAGTATTGAAATTGACAAGCTTCGTTTGAACAGATACACGAGTTTAATATTCATAAGAAACAAATCTTGATTGAAAATTATTAGAGGTATTGTGAGAAAAAAAATCGATCAAATTGAATCAATCGAAAATAGAGGACAATCCTTTGTCACTACTTTCGAAAATTTTGTTATGTATGAACATGTGAAGAATAATCCGTATAATGAGAATTGTTGAAACAATGTGAATATATCAGAGTTCAACGATAATAAACAAAAGTACTTTTACACTTCATATATTACATTAATTTTGTCATTGCCGTGCGGTGCATCATTCATGTTTCCCTGTCCACCTTTGTGCGATGCATTATGCACGTTTCTGGATTGGTCGCGATCGGATGTATTGTTTGGTGTTGTGAATTTGCTGTGATGCGATTTACTATTTGCGCTTGCATTTTGGTGAGGACGCTGTACATTGTTCGATGTTGTGGATTGGCCGTGATACGATGCATTACGGGCGTTTCTGAATGGGTCGCGATCGAATGTATTGTTCAACGCTGTGGATTGGCCGTAATGCGATGCACTATTCGTACCTACATTTTGGCTAGGACGCGATGTACCAGTTCCGTCTGGTTTCAAATCTAAAGACATTTTAATATTCCAACTGGTTTGACGGGTGTGAGTGTCCGTGTCGAGAAAACCTATAACGTGATTCAGACCTTACACCCACACACTCACATCCACACTCGTGCTTAACTGTTTGGTGCTCAACGTTCTCGTGCTGAACTTTCTGCGTGCTTATTAGTTCCGTGCTCATCGATCATCAAACTGCAGGCCCTGGTAAATATATTCGAGAGCCTTTCGTCAATAACTCTAAGTCTCATGACTACTGAACACGATAACATTGATATTCCTCAATAATTTTCTCTTCGATTTTGTTCATAAAAATTTTAATGTTTGATTTTTTCCTTTTCTATGAACCTTTTTATTCGATCGTTTGCTTTGATCTGTCATAACTGACGAATTGAAAAATTTGCTATTCATCGAAGCATCATTCAATATTTCGATATGGCTGAGTGTGGATGGAGAGCAGACATATGCACATCTATCCACAGCCACACTCTCCTTTTAGTTTAAGAGTCTATAGGGATTATCAAATATCGAAACTATAGACCATGTATGTGAAAACACGAACTTGATTCCATAATATTCAATAGCATGAATAGGATCTATTCTTAATCAAAAACTGTCGACAACATCTCTTACTTTCTTAGAATCAACATATAACTTATAAGACTTGTTTTTGTAATCAAACAGTACCAATCAAAAACATGCCGTTCTGTTAATTGAACAAGATTAAAAGAGAAAACTAATTTCGGACACGTTTCAATACAAAGCCTTGTCAAACTTTTCCATGTTAACTAATGAAACGAAACCGTGCTCTCAGAATTGCTAACTAGTTTTTCTAAAGAATGCATTAGTTTTTATTCTAATGTTTAAAATATCTTGAAGAGAGTTTTATCCGGATTTGGTTGTTACCAATCAAAAAAAGGTGCGTCATTTTGTTTTCATGTTCATACAAACACCGCAATGTACAAATACACAAAGAAATAACTTCAAGTTTTCGAATGACATACTTAGGAGCAGTAACTGAATATTCTGTTTAGATCGACTCTGATAATGGAGAATTAGATCAAATCTTAAAAGAAAATATTCTAACCTTGACTATTATTTATTACTAAGCAGACTTTGTCTGTGAGAGAGCTTGCTCGATATGGCAATTGAAAACCAGCTGTTTGTAAGTTCACAGCACTAGCAACATTCTTCATTATTTCTTCGATATCTGTATTGGATGTTACAATCCATTTTAACAAATTTTCCATAAAACTACCATTTCTGCCGTTTTGAGTTTCGTCTTGTACCGTTTTACCCGGAGCACAAGCAAACACGATGAGAGTTTTTGGTGGTGGATGGATAGGTGACAGACCTTGATTCTCATTGGTTGCTCGAGTTCTTATTAATTTTCTGCAACAATCAAATATATAGATTGCTGTACGACATAATTTATCGTCTATTTTCTTCATTATGTATTGTACATTGATCGCATGATCCGTAATATAGTGACGTTCATGTCTTCGATAATCATAATCATAATCTGATGGTAACAAATAATTCTGATCTTTACTTTGTTTACCATGACCAGCAAAATAAAATAATACCAATTCATCATGTTGAATTCTCTCAGCAAATTCATCTATTACATTGTAGAATTTACTATAATGGCAATCCAGTTCTAAGGTTATGTCAAAACCAATACATTGAAGAGTTGCACTTAAATCTTCAGCATCATTTATGCAGTACTGTAATGGATCACGTGGGTATGTATTGATACCGATGATTAGTGCACGCTTTCGTTGGTAAACAGCAGATGATGTCATTAGATCTAAAATATGTCAGAAAGTATAGTAACAAGGAAACATTGTGTTTTTCGATACATTCGATGAATTGTTTCTTTAGTTTGCTTTATTATTATATGACTAATTGATCGTATGTTTGGCAAACATTTTCTGTAGAACTTTTTTTCCCCTACCATTCAATACTCTAACATCTTTAAAAATGATCTGTTATTTGATCCATACTATCCTTTAGAAGAAGCCATCAATAAAAAAATGTGTTAAAATGCAGATGTCATGAATTTTATGTTTTATGTTTTGCGTTTGCTTTGCGTGCAAAACTTTTTGTTTTTCAGTTCTGACGGCGCTGACATGAATCAACATAGTTGTTGTCATCATAGTGTTATAAAATTTTCAGATGCTGCTCAAAAATATAACAGAAGTAAAACATTTCTTTGTTTTGTTCTTTTCTGTTTTAAATACCCGTCTCATATAAACAACAAAAGTAAAAAATAATAATAATATTTAAGCCAATGGCTAATAGAGTCGGATTTTTCACATTCAATAACATTAAAAGTTCAAGCAAAATCGCTTTTTCTCTATTACGAAGACTGAACATGGGTGTGGTGAGCGCGTCCATGTATACGTGGGCCTTTCTGTTACTTTGACTCACAGCTACAGCCACAGCCACGCATCTACACTTCAATTTGAAGATTTGTCCTGTCGCCTTAACGTATACATGAGCGATCTGAAAGTATTTCTTGTTGCCCTAACACGTGGACCAATCGAATGAAACTTCATTCTGTCATTCTTACGTATGAATAGGCCTTGCGAAGCCTTTTGTCGTCCAACTTATGCAGTGGTCTGTAAGCTGAAACTTTTCATCCTCATCCTGACATATTGATGGGTGATCTGAAAGTAACTCCCATTGCTCTAATTCATGAATCGATGTCTTAAGGCTTTTCTCCCTTTTTTTTCACACATTCCTTTGTCACCTGAGACTTCCCAGTCACGCAAGTACATGGATGAATAACCTTCTGTCTTTCCAGTTTCTCAGACATATTACCACGCGTTGTTTGAAGCTTCTTGCTGTTCTGTGAACACATTGATCAGCATGTTGACAGGTTTTGTCATCCCTCTGACGAGTTTATGTGTAGTTTCTCGTGTGTTACTTTCAGTTTTATGTATCCATTCGTGATCCGAAACTCTTCGTGGTGAGCCAGATATCTTGACGAATAGCCTATGGCATCCTGTCATCTCTCTTAAGAGTCCGTATGAAATTTAAGCATGTCTATCTGACTCCGAAGCATACCTGTATGACCGGGAAGTTTTCGTCTGCATTTCACTGAAGGAATGGGTGGCTAGCAGTTTGTATTCCCTAACTCTTGGTAATTCGTGTGCCATAGGGAGCTTGCAGTCCTTATCCTGACCGATTGCTCTGCTGCACATAGCGTCTCATTCTCATTTCTGTGAATAACTGTGTTGCTCGATGCTTTTTGGTGTCCTTTCTAGGGGGTATTCTGTCACCGGGAATTGTCCAACATCAACTTGGCAAATTGATGGAAGACCCTAGCTTTTGTACATGGACGCTGACGTATAGACTTAGGACTCACAGTGTTTCGATCTCAGTTTTGCTTATTATTGAATGACCTGAAGGTGTTTCGTCTTCACTATGACATATCCTTCTGTGGTGTGAAATAGTTGGCCCTCAATATTGCACATTACTGTGAGAGGCAAAACTTGCTCAGCTAACTTGATGACACTACCAAGTGGAGCGAAATATTTTGGCCTTTGAGCTGCAAATGTTGCTATGATCGGAAGATTTTTCGCTATCACTCTTATCCACATATACTGTTCATCATTGTATCTGTGTCATTTTATTTTGTGTAATATTATTAAGGTCAGAGCCATATTGCATTGTGCTTTCGTTTGCTGTCTTTTTAATAACTAAAAATCGATTAATAGGATGTGAAAAAAAAGAGGAAAACAAATCCTATGAGATATAAACAACAATATAGAATTGATTTGAATAAAAGAATCAAACAAATATAAGATGACTGCTGAAAAAGGAATAAGCGCAATCAACAACTGACATACATTGATAAATCGATCAACTTTTAAAGTAAAGTCGATCATGGCTATCAATCTTATATTTGTCTCAATCATGTCCAGTATTCGAATCATATTGGCGCTATGTATATGGCTTTCAAAATATTTTGTCTTACTTCTCGAATCATTCCAATGAGTTACTCATCGCATTCATGTAATTAGAGTCTGAATATTCGTAGTAATTTGAATGACGCGTTGCTGTTGATTTTAGGTTTTTTTGCTGTATCCTATTTGCTTGTTTTTTTCTTCGACTAATTTGTTTGTTACTTTTGTATCAAGACAACATTTTATATTGCTTATCTGTCTTCTTTCACACTCCAGTTTTTTTTTCGTTTTATTTTTTATTGTCATCAACTACCCTATCTACTTAGAGGGACCACATGCAGCAACAATAAAACATGCAACATGAAAGGCAGACGACGAAAGATAACAAAATAAGAAAAAAAAACTCACATTTGTGGAAGGCAATAAATTGCAATTGGACTACACACATCAATATTCATTTGTGTAAGATGTGAGATAGTGGACACCGTTCAAAAATTGACAATGAAAAACATTTTCAGACCGATCAGTCATTACCGATTGTGAAAAATCCAGACCGATCACATGTCTGGCCCATGGACAGTCATGGTTGGAATATTTTTATGAAACAAGCATGCACTGGACTGGATCAAAGGTCGATAGCCCATGAGATGTCTTGTTTCGTCTCGGTCCAGTCCATTGAGATCAACAGTTGGAAAGTGGTGCTTTCTTTCATGGATTATACTTCTCCGCCATTGGTTTTTCTTTTGTTTAACTATTTTTGGGTTATGAACGTTTTGACGAAAATGAGATAATATAGTTAGACACTAAACTTTTTCGGTGTTAGTAAAGGAATCATTATTTTTAGGACAGAGTCACTTCCACGTAAAATATCCAAAAAGTGACTATTATTTCTAGATTTTGATTCTCTAAAATTGATTTTTATTGAAAACAAGTGTGGTTTTCGGAATCAGCATGAAAAATAGACACTGGCAGCTCTATATTTTATTAGAAAAGGCTTGCAGTCAATTTTTACCCTTTAGGAAGTCATCGCCAAAAATTTTTCGAATAAAAAGTTGAGGGGAAGTAGAACGAAAATTTTAATCAGAAATATTTTTCGATGATACTACAGAGTTTTTGATGTATTCTTTCCATGCTGATTGCGAAAATCATATTTATTTCTAATGAAAACGAACTTTTGATAAGCAAAATCTAGAAATATTAGTCGTTTTTGTGGTGTGTGATGTGGAAATGACCCTGTTCTAAAAACAGTAATTTTTTTACTAACACTGAAAAGTACAAAGTTTGCGTCGAATGTTTTGATATCATAACATCATCTCCGATACAAAAAATAGTGAAACAAAAAAGTTTTCTATGAGTATATGTATCATTTGCTTTAGTCATACTTTGTGAATTCTTGATCACCACATAGACGTTCCCTCTTCAGAAGTTCGAACCATAGTTATAGATGTCATCATTTCTCGGTTTTCTTTATTATTTTGATAGACCATGTGAAGCTATACTGATGATGAAAGCTTCACTTTTTAACGATGAATTTATTGTGAAATTTACGGGTTGAATAATCTTTCTGGTGTACTAAGAGATACGTGTGTAACTGAGTACTTTTTAATAATAGGTAGTACTCGTTAATAAAGTAATAGTTTAAGATGATTTTAATTTATTTTCTAGAGAATCTTCATATGTATATATACACTAAAGATTTGGTCATTATTCATGCAACTATAGATGAGATATAAGTCATAATACAATAGTCCGGTCAATATTTGTTGAAAATGATTCTTTTCGTAAAGTATTGATTTTTTTGCTAAGAATAAAAATGTGCAAGTTCTGGTGTAGTGATTTCATATGTGCAGAATACTTACAACAAAAAAGTAGTTAAAAGAAAACAAAATAGCAGGGATAGGCTATGAGAGCCACTTCCTTTGCCGTTAATTTCTGAAATTTTTCAAAATTGTTCAATGTTCGGTAGCAAATTCGTTTTATGTGTTTCGGTATTTTCAGATGTTTTCTAATGATGTTTATATAATTTGCTTGATAGTTTCCGAAGAAAAGCGAGAAATTTCCTGCTAGAAACGATATGTATCAATTTAACTGAAAGAAAACATGGCGAAGGAAAAAATAGCGAAAAAAAAAATATCGAAAATGTTCCAGACGTCATTAAGTGACTCTGTTAAGTGTAGGATGCGTGTGTGAGTGTGGATGTAAGGATAGGTATGAAGAGAAGACTGGTATCTAAATGCATAACCAATATCGACACCAGACACCCAAACTAGTGGTGGAGTCAGAACATTAGCAGTCCTCTTGTTTTGGATGAGCAGCCGCAGCTGGCGGCCTCCCTAAGTGCGTCATGTTATCGAGAATACACAGTGCTAATAAAGTAGCTGTACTTTTCACTAGCCTTTTCAGAATAAGAAAGGAGGTACGGTTGTAGTTTTGCCGTTAACTACTCTACTAATAATTTGTATCCTGGATAATACAACACATGCAGCGACGGCACCATCTACCACTCCCCATCCACAATAAGAGAGGCGTTTATGTTCTGACTCCTCCGCTAACCCATACTCATTCACATAAAGAAATGTATTGTCTTATTGTTAATTTTATTCTTGAATATTTTTCATACATTATTACCTACTGTTGATGTACTCATACGTCTCTCGTTTTTTTGTATGTAATAAAATCTCTTCATCTTGTTAGTCGAGAATCTCGAAACAAAATTTTTTTCACATTTTTTTTTCTTGCGACCAAATTAATGCCATTTCTAGGAGAGTGGTAATTGTCGAAGTCATCTGAAAATAGCTTCATAGTGACTAAGTAATGTCATAATTCACTCCGAAATTACGTAATTACTATTGCAGAAAGTTTCGTAATTTCTGATTAATTTACTTTTGCTTCATGATAGATTATGGTAAATACTGTCAGATTTTGTAACTTACTAATAAATCTCCATATCTTTTTCTTTGACAGATTATTTCACCGTGTCGAAGATTTACTTTTTTTCCAAATCAAAACGTACCACTTTTTATTTTAGTATCGTTTTCATTTGAAACATTCTCTAGAGGGAGAGTTGGTGACATGCATTTTTCTTACAAAACTTTTCAAAACAAAAAGAACTTTTATATCGGTTTTTTTTGCTCATTCATTTTTTGGTTTCGTCTAATGTGATTGAAATAAAATTGATGTACAGTGAGTGTATCACAATGCTTCTGATTAGAAAGCGAAGGACACGTTAAATCACCAATGCTTAGTATCTGTGTTCGTACTTTGAAGTGTTAAATTTCAGTATTTCGTCACTAAAAATGATTGAGTACAGTTAACATATATATTTGCAATATTTTTTCTCTTATTGTAAACATAAATAATCTATTCATTACAACGAAGTCAAATATTCATTACCAAACCTAGTTTCACGCAAATGTTTCTAATCAAAAACTTGTTACGCTCGTGATAATTTAACCATTGAAAAATATGCGTCAACATAACTTAATTATTTGTCTCTTTCACTTACAGAGAGAAAGACATACCAATGTATCAAAAAGGAGTAAACATGTCTCTTGTTTCGTATCATAAAATAATGAATCAATCTAGTATGCTTTTTGATTGGCACACATGATAAAGTGAATGAAAAGAACAGTACACGAAGAAAAAAATGAATAAAAAATACCACATTCTTTTTTTGTTCGACCAGTCAACAGCGTTTTCTCTAATGAATAACTTCGTTTGAGTGCTCGTTCTTTAATTAATTTCAACTATAAGAAAAAATAAATGATAAAACAAAGTCAGTCACTTTCTTATTAAACCATTTTTTTGACAATCTGTCTCATCGATTTGGCATTCAATAAATCAATAATATTTATACAACGATAGGTATCATTACAATGAATAATTCAACCATTATAGCTCTTCCGTTTCACACATTCGAAAATTACATATTCAATGCATCGTCCTTCTGAGACTTTTTTATCGATCGATCAATCAAACATATAAGTAATAAAATAATAGTTCGCCAAATTGGTAATGAACCTATATATTTACTCTTATTGCCATCAAGTCGAATTATATGAGAAAGAAAAACTTTTATTTTGTCTGATATTCACTATAATTGAGCTAATGTGCAACTTCACCTATAACAAATCTCAGTATTGGTTTGTATTTAATAGCCTCATTAATTTGAAGGTTTCCAACTAATTTTTTTCATTTGTCATATAGATACAGAAAGGATCCTTCCACTATATTTTGAATTTAACATTTGACATCTCCCTGTATGATGAAACTAATATTTAATTACTTACATAGATTCAACTTTTATTGAGAATTTTGATACAAAAATATCAAGATTCTATATCTACATATTTTTTAATAGCTTTATAGAAAAATTCGACACCGATTTTAATTCAAATTTGTGACGAACATAATCATGCGTGGAAAACAAGCTTTATGTATTGGTATTAACGCCTATGTACCACGACATTTGATCTTAGAACCTTGTCTCAATGATGCAGGCGATGTAACTCAGGCATTACGTTCACTTGGATTTCAGGCACATTTTGTCAAAGATCTTAACTATAAATCAATGAAAATCCTAACTCATCAATTTGTTAATTCCATTCAACCGGGTGCTATTGTTGTGTTCTATTTCTCTGGTCATGGTTGTCAATTTAATGGTAATAATTATTTAATTCCAACGAATGCTACCGGAATTTGGGCAGGTAATGTTGACTCGACTGCAATCGATGCACACAAACTCATTAGTTCGATGCATAAAAGACGTCCAAAAGTTGTAATATGTATTCTTGATTGTTGTCGAACGGATGCACCGTCAGAGCCAGTTGATGAAATGAATCCATTTAGTAGAACTTTAGTTGGAATGAAAGCAGGTCTTGCACCAATGCAAGCCCCACCATCAACAATCATTGTTTATGCTTGTGCAGCAAATGCTTTAGCTTCAGCTATTTCAATGAATAATCGAAATAGTTTATATACTTATCATTTACTTCGTTATATCAGAACATCAAATATTGATATTGAAACTCTTTTGAAATATGCTGGTGTAGACGTTAAAAAAGAATCCAAAAGTCAACAAATACCCTATCTATATAGTAGTTGTAAGGAAGCAATCTATCTTGCAGCGCCCAACAATTACAAGGCAGTGGTATCAGCTCAACATATCCATAGAAGATCTGTTGTTCGTAAGTCACTTTCTATAAATACATTATAGATATACTCATTTTGAACACACATTTAGAACCATTATATAGGAAACAAGCAAAATTATCTCCTGTTATATATCCACAATCGCAATTCAAACACTTCTACAAGCAGTTGAATGACAAACATGGTGTTCAACATTTACAACCGCAACTCAAATATTTCTACAAGCAGTTGAATAACAAACATGGTATTCAACATTTACAACCACAACTCAAACATTTCTATAATCAGTTGAATAGTCGATATGGCATGCAAAGAAACTATTATTTAGTTGATGGAAATCCATCAATACCCATGACAAAAGTTCTTTGGCAGTCTAGTCTTCTGCTTCCTCGACATTTGTGATATTATTAATGATAAGAGCTTGTTGAGGAAAACAAAAACAGATCTTCAGCTGAGTATACTATCATTCAATACACATATATTGTCTAAAATAAACTAAACTCTATCTAAATTGATTTATTAAACTAAACTAGACTAATTTGTAACCATTTGTTCAATTTTATACAATTAACAATACGATAAACTTTTATCAACACATTATTTCGTGAAAGGATAAACATATCAACAATATGATTAGAGATTAATGTCATATTTTTATAATACAACTTTACCAAATTGTATCAAAGAGTATTATTAAATGCTAACAAAAGTATCATTAGTATATAGTTAGTCCTTAAATCTCACTATTGTTAGTAGAATTTGATGGTTCGAAAAAAAACTGGTACCGACTTCTTTAAATTTCTTGAAGCAGGAACTATTGAAAAAACACTATGGAACTGTTAAATTATCAGATATGTAGAAAAATTCTTAAACCTATATTGAGAAATTTTCATTTTTTCATTCTTGAGATTAAAGATTTCGATACATATGTATAATATTATTTTGTTTAAGTATTGAGATATGTGAGGTCTTTAATCTCAACAATTCAATACGGAAAATTTCTCAAAATATATTGAAAATTTTCGTATCTATCTGATGATTTAACAGTTTCAGTTCCATGTAATATTTTAGGAATTGAACCGAAACCAATTTTTTTCATTTAGTGTAGTCAAAATATGTACTAACCTGTTAAGAATTGATTTTTAAATATTATTTTATTCACATAATCAATTCCTTCTTAAAAGTGAGTTAATAACAAATCTCAAACGCATAAATGGAAATAATATAGTGATTGATATATAATTCATATCGAATTGATTATCTAATACATTTATGTTAGGGTCCAATGTCAGATTCTGTCCAATCTCGAATTAGAGACTAAATAAATTGCATTCTCCATGGAGATTTTGATTAAGTTCAAAGAATGCATTGAATAAAAACTGAAATAGAAAAATGTGGATGAAATTGAATCCATGGTTATACTAAAACAAGCTTCAAAAAAGTAAAAAAAAAAGTTGATTTATATCTCGATTGTGGGTGTAGGAGTGACGTGAAGAGCACAAGTACATCCACAGCCACAGGCACATTCTTTCTTGATTTTTTTTGTGTTATTTGCTTACGATCAGATGTTGTATTTTGTTGAAAATAAAGCTTCATGTGCCACAGTCAACTTTTGCTTCAATGTAATATGTTAGTGGTTTCAAGGTTGATCGTATTAACATTTCAATCCGACATTGATCTAGGATAATCTATGATTCGCGTACAATTTTCAGACGAAACTTAAATTCGATACTAACATATACAATGATATTTATAATGAACCGCGTATAAAGATGTACGAATTCAATTTTTTGTGACCGCCGACTCTATTTCTGTTTTAAGGAAACTCTTTTGCTTTAGTTCTTTCTATAAAACTATTATTCGTTCGTAATGTCTCATAACTAATGTCCACGCCAGAATCAAAATCGAGCGGATGTAAGCTCAATAACTCGACAACGATAACAGCTATCGACTTAAATGTTTTCAGCAATCGGAAGAACAAAACTCTGGACGTCTTTGTATTTGATACTATGTAAGAGAAAATTATTTTAAAACTTATTACCTTCGCAAAACATATTAAAAAAATACATGAAAACGATGTTCCGTTTCGATATAATTTTGATTTTGACATATGCTTCAGATCTTATATTTCAAGTTCTGTTGATTTTTTGAAAATTTTTTGACTTTTCATCAAAATTTCCTTGAAATTGGACACCATTGAATGTTTTTCGAAGATAATGGGTTTTAAAATAATTTTCTCTTGCATAGTATCAGATAAAAAGATGTTCGAAGTTTTACACTTTCGATTGCCGAAAATCGCCGGTCGATAGCTGTTGCCGGTGTTGAGTTATTGAGCTTACATCCATCCTTCTTTAATTCTAGCTCGTACATTCGAATAAATTGAGATACATCTATGGAATAACAAACCATTCGATTTTATTCTGATTTCTCAAAGCTGTACACTTAACTGTTGTTGATACTAGGAAAAAACTCACTTGCCATTTCAAATAATAGCTTGACATAAAACTATATTCTTCAATTAGATATTGACCGATAGAATATGAAGTATTCTTTTAACATATAAATATTAGATGACTACAAACCATGATAATAAGTTCACAAACCATCTATATTTTTGATGAAATTCCCTAACGAACAGTAGTTTTTATATTTTTTATTCAATGCTATTGAAATGTTAAACTCTGAGCTTCTCTATAAAAAAATTTCCTTCCGTTTTCTCACTTTTTTCTTTTCGCTAAATCCCTGCGATAACCATAATCTTTTTTGTTTTTTCATTATCTTGAATTGACCGTCAACGAGCGACAATAGAAATCAGTAAACGATAGATGACGTTGTATTCATGATTCCATACTTAACATAAGTCCTATCGTCACTTGTTTGTTTGTATTTGTTTACCTGCTTCTGTTTCTTGTCATCAATTAATTGCTGATTAAAACGTATTTATTGAACAACTAATCAAAAAAATATGTTGTTCTTTATAACCTCCTTTCTGGATTTGTATTTTGTTGATGTTATTCTTACGTAATTTTTCCTTGTCATTTTCATAAATAAATACTCTGTTTTTTCTTATTTTTACATCATTTTTTTCTTAGTTATTCTAGAAATACAAAACGATTTATTGATATAAAATGGGTATTCTTAAAAATTTCGAAAATGATGGAATTGAAAATGAACATATCAATTCTATTTCAAATATTGATCCATTGATAAATACAAATAATTTCAAGTAAATAATTTTGCCTATTAATAAGATAGATAATCTGACACCTTTTTTTTCCTCTTTTATTTTGTTAGTGATTCAACAGCATCAAGTGAGGATGAAGAAACACACGAAAATATAGTTGTATCAGCTCCACCAACTAATTCGACTGTTCCACTTACATCTAATCGAACACCTAAGATAAAAAAATCTATATCGAAAATGCCAAAACCAACATTACAAGTAAAAAATATTGGTGGTAAGAAATCTCAAGGGAATCGACATGCAAGACGACATGAAAATAGTCTGTCTATTATTTCAAAAAAAAAAATTTTTAATTGAATAATCATTATTAACTTTAGTGTGTTTTTTACTTAATCTTGCAAAAGATTTAGATGAAGACTTTGCTGAAGTGAATATAAATGATCTTGTTGATACAACTATTTCAGCATTTGCACAACTTTTATTAAGTAAAAATAAAATGAAGGTAAAACATATTATTTTAGATAGACAATATTTATTATTATCATTATTTTCTACCCATTATAGTTTATCTTCCCCTTACCTAGAGGTTCTCTCTAATCAAGGGTTTTGTTCTTTTAAAAAAAAAATTTGATGAGAAAACACAGCAGCTCATTTTATTGAGCATTCGCCTCTGGATAGAACAAAAATAAATCTGTTGAATCATGGAAATCCATGCGGATTAACTTCTTTCAAAAAAAAAAATATGCACACAAAACGAAAGGAGTTATGCTGTTTTATTGTTTTCTTTTTTCAGTTAGTGTAAGTAGAATGGCTCATCGATAAAAGTTTTTTTGTTTTTTTGCGAAAAAAAAAATTATTCACTTAATTTATAATTAGAAAATGTCACAAATTTAGTTAATTAATAGTTTCTTTTTCTTAAATATTATTTCATCTATCTATTAATTAGATTTGGAATGAATTTATTGAATTACCTGAAAGTCAACAGGAACATATTGTTAAAATAGCAACAAATAAAGAAAAGAAAGGAAAAAAAATTCGTCATGAAAAAAATAAACAAAGATTTAATAATGGTACAACATCAATCAGTTGTAGTAGTGATGAGAATTTCGAAACATTTGTTCTTATTGAAAATCATACAACAATAAATAATCATGAATCTATTGATCCATTACGTCGACAAGGTATTTTAATATATGGATGACTGGAAAGTTTTTAGACAAGATGTTTGTTCATTTTGGCTTTCTTGAAAGCATTTCAGATAAGCCAAAAACTGTAGGTCGCAACTAAAGTTTGGATATGAACTTAGAAATGTTGTATCTATTTTTGTTCAAAAGTAGTGGATGACTTTTTAAAAGACCTGAAAAATTATTTTTAAAAAAGTTTTTGTAGAGTGGACACTTCTCTATAAAATGTAATATTGAATTAACAAGGAAATCCCTTCTTCTGATGTCAATGATTTTTTACCTATAAATACTATTTAGTGTTTTAATAAAGACCTTAAAAGGATTTGAGTTCCTATTGAAATTTACTAAGGTATCGAATTTCGATCTGAAACTTTATGCATATAGAGAATTCAACTAGACTAGATTCTATTAAAAAATTTAGAAAATTTCAACAAATTTTCGTCGAAATATGAAACTTTCAAAAAAAATGCATGTGGTATACACTATTCATGGAAAAGGGTGTATATTTTGAAAGTTTCATATCACGAAGAGACATTGTTCAAAACTTTTGAATTTTTTAAGAAAGTTGATCTACTTGAGCTCTTTAATATGCACAAAGTTGCAGACGAAATTTGATAGCTTAGTCAAATATCAATACGAACCAAAATCGTTTTGAAGTTTTTATTAGAACATCATGTATAACCTATGGGCAAAAAA